GTGAACTATCAAATCATGAACGGCGGGGGCGGCATTTGCTCGACCGTTTAAAGACAACGAAAACAACAGCAACAACAACAACAACAAACAGAGCGTGCTGATTGGTCCTACCGCTGATCTTCAACAACAACAACATCAACCTAGATATCAGATCTGCAACGCCCTTCTCACCCGCGTTGCTGTTGTCTTCGATGCGCTTCTCCTTCTTCTTGGTCTGCTCCTCCGTGGAAGGGTTCGCCCACTGTTCGGCGCTCAGGTCATTCTGCCCTGCAACACCATTCGTTGCCACGGTAACATCATGAGATGAACAATGTGGCGTTGTAGCATTGATGTATTCATCATGCGGCAGGGGAGGCTTTATCGGGAGGAACAGTAATTTACACGATTGCACGTTGGACCCAGAGGCCACAGCAGCATTTAGTTTCATTCAACGAGTCCGACGCACGTCTTGGTATCCTTTCATTCAACCAGGGGGCGGTGATGCCTTGGTTGCGTCGGGTGAACTTATATATCATGAAAGGCGGGGGCGGGTCGGAATGGAACGGGTGCAGAGAATGAAACAACACAAAACAGATACGCCTGCAACGAACACGACGGGCAGGTGGAATACGCTCAATCCAACCATGCACCAGTTGCTCGCTCTTAAGGCATCGCGTTCTGTTCGATCGACTGTCAAATTTTCATTCCAAAAGTCAAATAGCACGCTTTGGCAGTGTTATTCCCCGCGAGAAACTTCCTTCATAGGGTCCATTGCACGCAACTTTATTCTTGTATTCTATGGAGCAGGGAGCGGGGATGCAATGCTTGCGTTGGGTGCCTCTCACACAAGGCAACAAGCAAAAAAAAACTGTTCAAATAACCGCAATCGAGACCAAGAGCGGTCGAAAGGATTTCAATGAAACTAGGGTACGGAACGGCCCCCATTGGTAGGCGTTCCTTCGACATGTAGTAGTACACAACTACAGCTATTCAATCTTCCTGTCTGTACGGACGCGCTGTGACATTATAATCTGAACTCCCACGAGTAAATACTTTGCATTATCCAATCGCTGTTGGCGGTTGGACCTACAATTTGCTGAAAACAAACAACAACAACACCACCACCAACAACAACAACAACAACAACAACAACAACAACAACAACAACAACAACAACAACACGCGAAGAGAAACTCACCTCCACGGGAGCAATCATCCGTAAACGTATCCATGTCTTCCTTTTCCTTCTGTATGCTGCTCTCGCCTGCAACCGATACAACAGGCGGGGGAGTAATTTCACTGAAAACGATGAGCATATGCTAGGAAATGTTCGCGCCATTCAATCGTTGTGAGCATGGTAGGAAGGCGTGATGCCTCTTGGCCTGACAATCGTCGTCAACAACAACAACAACAACAACAACAGAGGCAACGATAAGCCGACCGAGGAAATATTCGGGCCATTTAATCGTTGTGAGTATGGTAGGAAGGATAGGAAGGAGTGATGCCTCCAGGCCTCAATTTCTCGCACGAATACCGACGCGTAGATGTCAACTTTCAACGATCTACGTCGTTCGACCAAAAAGGGGGCGGCTACGCCAACGAATGGGAAATCATACACATGATAACGCACAAGCACAACTTCATGAATTGAATTCATTCATTCAACAACAACAACACACGCATTTTTCTGAAGCATAAAGCCGGGGTCATGGCCCACTCTCCCCCCTCTGAACATTTTTCATCCCAGGCCACGGTCCTCGGTTTGTTCGCCTTGGATCCTGTTCTCGTGGAGGCGCGGGAAACACTGCAGCCGGAGCGCGTCAACTTCGTTCAGCCATCACCCGAACAACCCCGACGCGCGCCGACCCCTCCGGCCCGCCCACCTGCTGTGGAACCCCTTCAAGGGGTCATCGGCCTCTTAACCGAAGAGGCCGACAGCACGCTGGCGCACACGTTTTTGAAGCAGGAGCGACAATCCGACAACGTCCGCATGGGCTTTCACATGCTGAGGGGACGCCAGCCCCAGCTCATCAGTACGTTCACGTCGGGCATAATCGACATGGCCACCAGTCTAACTGCTGGTGCCAGTATTGTCCCTTCGCACCCTGTGGCCGCCGACACCGTAGCCCTCGCCATCATCAACTTGGCAAGGTTTGTGGCGAGCACTGCAGAGGAGGGGAAAGCGGATGGCGACCGCGATCTGCTCGCCCTGGTGTGCCTGCTCATGGCCCAAAAGTTAGAGGATAACGGGTCGGACAGTCCGGACAGTCTCCTCGCTGCGATGCTGGCTGTGAGCAAGGTGTGGGGTCCCGACCACACGGCAACGAAAAAGCGCGCTGCCAAGCTTAAGGTAAAGCTTAAAGACAAGGCGTGCGCCAGCCTCAAGTGGGCGCTGTACGCCGTGACGCCTACGACGTTTGGTCACCTGTTCCTTGCCCGTGCGTTGTCGGAGGGCGCTCTCACCGGAGGGCACTCTGAAGTCAGGGAGCTCACGACGGTAATGGATGCAGTCAACGCTGCTGGTGTCGGGCCGACGATAGAGGGACTGACGCAGGGCAGCGGTTCATCGATGAAGCCGCCGATTAGGCTGACGGACGCGGAGCGGCATAAGGTAGAAATGACTCTGACACCGAGGGTCCCACGCCGCCGTCTACAAGAGAGCCGGGAGAGGCTCATGAGGGGTTCTTTGCAGACGACCAGCAGGTAAATCTCGCTTGCTTGAAAGTTGGTAGGCTTTGCAACGATGTCTCTTCCTCGCCCCAACCAGTATTCGCCCCACAGGATGAACTGTTTCGGTGTTGTCGGGGTCCCTGTTCGTCGACTGATTTCCCATTTCCCGTCCTCTTCTCTTTCCTCCCTTCAATGACATGACCACACCAGGTCAGCCGGGCCGTCTCCAGGAGCGGAAACACCTCGTCGTCCGACCGACAGATATGGATAAGCCAGAGAGCGGTTCCGGGAAAAGCACAATGTCCTCGATCCGCAGCATCATCGGGGAACGGACTCCGTGTACGAGTGGTGGGATGACGGCACCGTCCCCCGAGTTCGCCAGGGCTTCGCGCTCCTCTCCGATGTTGTTGGATGGCCACCACACCACGGCAATGAGCGCCGGCGCCTTGCCCTCTCCTTCCGAGACACTCTCGGGGTCTTGGGCCACGCTCGCGGTAACGACGTCGAGATTTCGACAGGCACGCCACCCAGCGCGGGCTTCGCCACCTACATTGATAACAGGAAGCACCCAACCGGCGGCAGCGCGTATATCACCATCTCATGGGCAAGCAGAACCTTACCCACCGGGAGCAACGGCCAGAATGACATGGGTGGGACTCAATGAAGCCCCCCTCGAGATCATCGGTGGCGATGATGGCGGTAGCGATGACATTTCGGACGACAATGATGCCCTCTGTCTGCCTCAGGTGAATGTGATGCCCCGGAACAACAGCATCAACGAGGTTGCGGAGTGGGGTGTTGGTGTAGAGATGACGATGGAAGAAGCGGGAGAGTTGTTGCTGCAACAGAGACCTCACCTGTCCGAGTGATGTTCAAAAATGTCTCGGCCTCGCACCGTTGACTACGTAGAAACAAGACCGAATACCAATGAATACACATTACTTCACCGACCGAATGAACACCACGGGATTGGAGTTTTTCCATGTCTTCAGTCACCTGCCCTAGCCTGCCTTATAGCCGTCCGGGTCGTCCACTTCCCGTTGCTTGTTGTAGGCTCTCATTTTCTCCGAAGCACAGGACTTGCCGATCTGCTCTTCTGTCCGAGGGCACACGTATGCCGACACGCCTACGCCGGCCTTGACCTTGTCCGCAGTACCCTCTGCGATCCGTGCGACGTCGTCGATGAACGTGTTGGGGTCGATGGGGTCGAAGTCGAGCACGAACGTGGCGGGCGCTCCATGTTCCCGAAGGAGATTCTAGTCGATGATTTCCTGATGGTGTGCGTGGGACGCGGTGCCGGTGCCGACCTCGTCCATTATATTGTACGACCCTGCTGGACAGTCGATACACTCCATGTCTGGGTTACATCGGCTTTGAGCTGCCACGGGTTGATGGCATCGCCACCCTTCGCAACCCTGGCGTCGGCCACGCCAACCTCCAGGCGCTTGAAGCCTGGCGGCGCGCCCGGGTTGTGAACCGTGACGCACATCCGCCAGAGACCGTTTCTGCCGTCGCGGTGTCGGCGGCCGGAAGTGATGTACTGCTGGGCCCGTTGCTTTAGGAACAAGCGGTCGGTGGAGTCTCTCAGCTTACACAGCTTCTCCAGCGGACCCAAAAACGGGGCCAGCGAGGAGAAGTGGTCGATGATAGTGACGTTGTTGTGGAGAGTTGAGGGCCCGCTCGGTTGTCGCTGCCATACCCGCTTTCCTCCGATCGTTACACCGTTGAACGCATCGGCCTCCTTCGCGAATTGAGGATGGTTGTAGGAGAAGTTACCCGTGGCGATGTGGCCATCACTAAAGAGGCGCGCAGTCGTCATCACTTCGTATTGAGAGGGCACTGGCTTGTATTCGTGGCGAGCTTTCTTGGGCTTCTTCCCCTTCGACGCGGGGGGCGTCTTCCTCTTTTCCCCCTTCGACTTGAGGGGCTGTTGAGTGGCAGGGAAAAGAGCAGCGTAAAACACGTGGGACAGAGCGACGACGATGTTCAACTCGTCGGGTTAAACCATGACGAGGATACTAATCTTGCCGACGTGGAGTGCAGCTGTCACGCCCGGGTAGGACCGACGAACTGAAGGGTCTCGCTGACTCTGGGGCAGTCTGCACGGACGGGAGGGAACGCGACGAGTATGCAACGTTGTGTGTATAAGCCGTGATAATCAGTTCCGCATATATCTGTTTCCTCTCTGTGTTCCCAACTTACACTTTTATGTGTTCATCGAGAGACATTACGTAAGTTTACTGGCATACCTTTCCCTTTCGAGTCACAAAAATAACGGCGTTCATTCTTTTGGTGTCAGATCCACGGCGAAGAGTGAATGTGTGGAGAGTGTGAGGGAGGGGGGCCATAGCGATCAAAAATGGAAATCCCTTCGGGAGGCGTGTTGGATAGTTTGAGCGGAATTATGCGTGCGAATTCGTCTACTTACGATATCCCGTTCGGCACCCCCCACCAACCCTAGACACCGGTCCGGGTAAATACCAAGTTGCAACCCCAAGGGGTAAGGTGGATACAAGGGGATCAGGCATCAGGTACATTATGTTTCATTACTTGCCTCCTCCTCCTCCTCCTCCTCCTCCTCCCTCTGTTCGGAGCCGAGGCTCAGACGGCGCTTCCCTGATTTCCCGGATGACTGGTGCGGTGCGGCGGGTTGTCAAAATGGTCGCAGTTCCGAAGGGGTGGATGAGTGTCGACATTCACAAACATGGGAGAACCATATCCTGCAACCGCATTATTTTCACTCTGTTCGACTGGGCTCAGACTGCAAATTAAACGCGCAACTTGTAGTCCACCTACTATCTGCTTGCACGAGAACGTTTCTATTCTATTTTCGTGTGTGTCCGAACCATGTTGAAAGCACAATCATGTCTGTATGTAACCCATGACGGAAGGCGGACTTGTGGTAGGAAAGAAACAGCGTCGGCGCACTCCATGTTGATAGAGGAGACGGCGTCAATGAAGCTAGCTAGGGAGGCATCGCAGTCAGAAATCGTAAATCGGGTGGGAACTGATCGTCTCTCACCTTCGGTCCACAAGATGACGCCGCTGCGTTCGGGGACCGTGGGGTGAGAGGTGTTGCGTTTGCCACTCTTCGCGTCACCCCTGGGGGAGTGCAGAAAAATTCTGTGGGATCACGGACGGATGCATGGGTGGGGAGAGTGTGTATCATCGTGTGATTGTGTTTATGACTGGGTTTGTGTGACTAGGCTCGCGTTAAAAATGGACGACCTGAAATCTGTAGGAAAGCATGTCTTATTCGATATACTCGTAGCATAGCATGGGGGTGGAATATTGCGTATACATATGCGGTATCTGCAGTGACGAACGACGGAGGAACAAGAAGTTACTTTGTGTTTTCCTTGGGAGTGTGGTAGATTGGTGGACATTGATGGAGATTCGTTTTGGGTGTTTAAGCGTTATGCGTGACTTCATGCCGTGATGGAATGACGAGCTCAAGCGCCCCCCCGATGAATACAACACGTTTTTCCACACGTCTGTANAAGCTGTCACCGATGTCCAGCGCCGACCAATAACGAGGCGGCCGTCACGCAGAAGACGAGGACGCCCGCATTAACGAGTTGGTGGAGCTGAGGGCACAACAACGACTGGCCGACATGAGGCGGCAACAAGACGAGGAGGAGCAGAGGACAGAGAACGTCCG